GAAATGCGCATACTGAGCAAAACTAGTAATACTGTGATGATACCTATCTAATTTGTCATGGTTATAGTATTCTGTACATAATTTAAGCTATGATAAATGGCTTTGTTGTAATAGATAAATCACTAATATATAACAGGTGATTTACCAAGCATGCTTATACCCATTTTTTATTTAATAATGAATTTATTCAAATTCTGATGTTTGAATATGTTATATACACTCTAAGACATTTTAAATATTCACATACATAATCATTTCAAGTACCAATATTAAATTGGCAGTGTAGAATTAAAAAAAAAATATTATGACTAGGTATATACTATATAATATATAGGATTTTATGACTACCAAGAAACTTGCTAGTTATCATATTATCACACATCTCGAAGAAGATGATTATCTCGCTGTTATTTATTTGTATATGATTTTTTTTCTATTGAGTACGAGGATAATACAACATACTGAACAATTAAAATATATTATCAATAGTATAACGTGTCTTTGATTATAAAAATCATACGTTAAATATTTTGATTATCTAATTAAATTCATAAAATTATTTACAATACAAACATTTAATTTAATCTTGTACAATGAAAATCCGACCAAGGATGTAATAATAATGATATAATATATTTTTCCACCATCCGTAAATTATAGTATACCGTGTACCGTTATCTTGATACACAAGCAGAGAACTCTACTATATAATTCAAAAATGGGAAGTGAAGGTGATTTCCGCAAACGAAAAATCAGGATGCTTGGATAATAAAAAAAAGATATATAGTCCATTTATTTTGTTATTTTGAGTACATGTTCGATTAGTGTGACATTAAATCTAATGTAAATAAACCAAGTATGATTTCATGTAATATGTAGCTTGAAAAAATCTTATTTTATGTAAGATGGTATATTCCAGTATATTAGCGTAATATCCGAATCAACGAGCATGTTTAGTTAGTGATGGTTCTGTTGAATCGTTAAACTGTATACAGAAATAAACTTTTACTTTAACTAAATCACAATTGAATATGGGTATAGAATTTTTGTACATCATCATGTCTCTACTATGAAATATCCTAACGACCATATATTATAATGCACTAAACACATTTACAGAATTTATGGAAATCATTTTTT